GTACAACTCGTAGTAATGAATGAAATCTGAAAACTCCATTCAAAGTCTAGGAATGATAATCTAATCACCAGTTTGTGTTTCCCAATATCTCATGTTATATAAAGATATTTATTGAGAATATATTCAGATATATTTTTTAATGACACAGATTATAACGTTAACTTTGATACCAATTACTTGTTACTTGGGTAAATAAAAACAATAAAATGGATTTAAATTCAAATGAATTCATTTGATATAAAGATTCAATTATATGATAGCGAATGTGAGCGAAGGATAACTGATAAAGGCATTGATCTCACAGTCAGATAATTGGTCCACAAGAGTGTGAAATAGAAAAATACAATTTAAGAAACGAGTCATATATTAGATAAACTATAAATTGATAATAAAGGCAACGATCAGGCATTTAGTGGCGATTACTGTTCATATGAGTCGAGTTCTGCCAAATAGTTAAGAATATCGATATGAGTGATGATTCCGGCGATTCGCTCAGAATTCTCGGACACCTCATCGAACACAACCACATATGGGTTGGTCTTAAGAATGCGTGAAATTGATCCCAATTTGCCATTCCTTTCGATCTTCGGGTAATTCTTAATAATCACTTCATGTATGGGACTCTCCATCGTAACCGTGTGTCCAGACATCTTAGCCATAATATGGCCGACGGTTACCATTCCCAGCAGAAAGCTATCATCGCTGAGGACCGGGAGCTGATCGTAACCGTGTCTTCGCATAATAGAGATGGCGTCAAAACACTTGGTGTTGGGGCCGACGCTCTCCACATTCATGCCCTTCACTAAGTTATTGATGGGTTCGTTCCAAAACCACGGCTTCTGGTCCTCTTCCTCCTCAGCATTGGTGGCGAAGTTGCGCTCAACCATCCAATTGTCGTCCAAAAACTTTGTCATATAATTGCGGACACCGTCGGGAAGTATGACAACACAGCGCTGGTCCTCCCGGAGCTCTTTCGCCGCCTTCATCGCCGCCACGACTGCGCTGCCGGAAGAGCCGCCACACAGAAGGCCTTCCTCTGCGATCAGCTTTCGGGCCATTTCTAGCGACGACTTGTCCTCCGATTTATACCACTTGTCGACAACACTTCGGTCCAAAACGGTTGGTATGAAATCATATCCAATGCCTTCCACTTCGTAGAAAGTGGTGTCGGATTTGTTGATACCCTCGGGCTGTGCGAGTATAGAGCCGTACGGATCCACACCAACCACTTTACAGTCGGGCAACACCTCCTTAAACTTGCGCCCAATGCCGGTGACCGTACCGCCAGTTCCCGCGCCCACGACAACCATATCCACGTTATGGTCCGTCTGTTGGATGATCTCTGTAGCGGTGTTGTCGTAATGAGCCAAAGGGTTGTTCACATTCCTGTACTGATCCAAAATCACCGAATTCTTGATCTGAAGGCACAACTTCTGCGCCACTTTGATGTGACTGTGAGGCGAGTCATAGGAGGCGGAAGTGGGCGTCCGCACGATCTTCGCGCCCAAAGCGTGCAATACATTCACCTTCTCGTTGGACATCTTCTCCGGCATAACGATAATACATTTGTATCCCTTGACCGCCGCCGCCAACGCCAACCCAATGCCCGTATTACCACTCGTGGGCTCAATGATAGTGAAGCCCTCGCGGAGTATGCCATCCCTCTCGGCGTCGCACACCATCTTCAGTGCGATCCTGTCCTTAACGGATCCGCCGGCGTTGAAGTACTCGCATTTGGCCAACACTTCGCATTTCACGCCATACTCTTTGGGAATCTTATTGAGTCGGACGAGTGGTGTGTCACCGATCTGTTCCAATATGTTGGTCAGTATCTTGGGCTTAGCCGCGGGTGAGTCGTGATGGTGCGGGTCCTGAGGCCCAGATGTCTTGTCCAATGACCACAAACACTTGGGTTTGACATTTGGGTCGTCAAACTGTTTACTCATGGCTTGGATTGGATGCGACTGACAGACAGACTCGACTCGTGAGGCAACTCGAGGCAAAAGACTCGTCTTAAGACACGGGATGTGAATATATATCACAAATAATATCTCAGATTTGATATGACGTTAAACAGCGATAAAAAAGACATT